TTCATAACCTAGTACCTATCTTAATACCTACCTCGTAATACCTTGAATACTAGTTATAGGATATATATCGGCGCTTGAAAGGCAAACATTACTAAGCGACAATGCGTGAACTTTACAGTAGACTAATTTAAAGTTGAAATACCTGAAAAAAAATATATTTTAACGAATCTAGCTGTAGGATTGAAATGATTTTAATAGACCTAGAAATATATATTTTTTGCGCATCGAATATGGTTATTGCCTATCATTTATGTACAAAGCAGTTATTGTCGCTTAGTCACGTTTGCCTTTCAAGCGTCGATATATTCTCCATCTACCATATTCCCTATTTCTAAAATAAATAAGTAAATTCTAAGGTCAGTTTTTCACGATAAAACGAATTTTAAAGCAATTAATTTTGGTTGGTTGTAAAATTGGTTAAAATTACGTTGAAAGATTCCGCTACATAGACAACTACAGATCAAAATAACAAAAGCGTTTTAAAGAAGCAATTTGTTATACAGCCTTAAATAATAACTAAAACATACAAAGGCACTAATATTTACCTTGGGGATTGGACTTGTTTCTGAATAAATGTGCGTGCCCTACTCATGAGATAGATTTATGTATCTTGTTACACTTCATATGACAACACTATTTATTAATTCAAACCGGGTTTGAAGTCTACAGTATGTCCGTAAGACTTATAATTCTGTTACTGCCGTGATGGAGGTAATATATGTACTATCCAAAATATATTTTTTATTGCTTAGATGGGTGGACGAGCTCACAGCCCACCTGGTGTTAAGTGGTTTTACTGGAGCCCATAGACATCTACAAAGCAAATGCGCCACCCACCTTGAGACATAAGTTCTAAGGTCTCAGTATAGTTACAACGTCTGCCTCACCCTTCAAACCGAAACGCATTACCGCTTCACGGCAGAAATAAGCAGGGTGGTACCTAGCTGTGCGGACTTACAAGAAGTCCTATTACCATCCAACACCACCATTCAACAATCCCGTTTTTTCATTCACATTCTTTTATTTGGTTACTGGAGCCCATTGATAGCATGTTATTGAGCCCTCCAATTGAAGGAAATAGTGCTTCGTAACAGAAATGTAACAGTGATACCTACTCTTCGCACGTCACCGCTGTATACAGTCGACTTCCAGACGCTGACTCAAAATTTATGAGTGACAAAATATATAACAAATACTGAAATAAATACATATGTATATACCATAGAATAGTAGTATAGTAGTAATACCAAAATAGTACAGCAGTAAACGTTTTACGACCGATATTGAACTTTTTATTTTATTTTTTTGTTGCATAGATGGGTGGACGAGGTCAGAGCCCACTTGGTGTTAAGTTGTTACCGGAGCCCATAGACATCTATAACGTAAATGCCGCCACCCACCTTGAGATATGAGTTCTAAGGTCTCAGTATAGTTACAACTGTTGATAAAATTTTGTATCACTTAAAACAGTAAAGTCAGTGATAAAAGTGATGTTAGAAATTCAAACTTTAGTAAACTAGAGTCGATATTTCATATTAGGCATAACATTTGCCGGTAGATTTATTTAAAACAAACTGTAAAAAACACCGTCAGGATATTTTTTAATCGATCTATTTTAGAAGTATATTTTACAGTTGGTAATAATGATTTTCAACTATTGAAATAGAGTATTATAATACTTTTATTTAATATATTATCTTGAACGGAAATCAGTTGTCAGTTTAATATTTCAACAGACTAATAAAAAATTAAGAACTAGAAGAAATGTATAGTTATAAATCGTTGCATTCTTGAAAACTAATGCAGCTTATTTTGTTTAAGCTTTTCTGAACTAAATTGTACTCTTTCTATTTTATTTGATAAAATTTGTGAGGTTGTTTTTTTAATTTAATCACCCAATCTATAATTTAAACAGCATTAACACGATACAAATAAATTCTAGACGCAAAGATTTGAAATTTAAATGACGGCAAACGTGTTTTATTTTTTGTTGTAAATAAAAATATATCTATAAAATAAATATTTTTAAGCTATGCATGGTGGAATTCTACCTCGTAAAAACAGCGTTTAAGCAAAAACAATACGTACGAAGATAATAGAAATGACTATTAAAATTTGCATGATTTCCATAACTCGCCGTTGGTTAAGTGACCGTGACGTCAATTTACAAAACTATTATCGTTAATAATAACGATACTGCTATAGTTTTTTGTTAACTTCGCAATGTATTCATTGCTCTGAGTCCGTGATTTATGACGGATATAATGTTTATTTGTAAATGCTCTCGTCACAAACGCGTTTAGCAAACAAAAGTTAGTACAAATGAAGTTTACACATCACGATTTTGATATTGTTGACGAGTTTTCTCTGTGGGCAACGTTGCGTCGCAGCAAAAAATCTTAATGATTCGCCGAGACGCGATCGTTTCCACCGAGTCGGAAAATTCCTGTAATCGTACAGCGACTTTCTTCGCTGATCACTGTACCACTCGATAAAGAACACGCGAAACACACGTCGATAAGTTTCATCTTATGAACATGACCAGCACAGAAATAATTATGCTGCAGTACTAATACAATGAATGCTTCAAACATATTATGTTGTATTGAACTTGAAAATGGAAAAAAACGGCACGCTCAAAGTACGTAATGCGCTGTGTTTTGTTAACTATATTATGGCCGTAGAACATTCTTAATGTTTTATCGCCGTCAAGATAAAGAAACCGAAGCAGTGGTGACATCACCACGACACAGACCTATTCTTGATAAAGAAAACGTTCAGTAGGTAACCTTTACCTGATAAGATAATGATTTCGCTAATTCAGAACAATAATGTTTTAACTCGGACGTTGAAGTTGCTTTACCGGTTTGTGACTAATTACGATAACAGCCATTAAATAGTGAATGGCGTCGGTAACGAGGGCTGTCGAAATTCAGATCGAAATGGCGGCAACCAAATAAAAGAACTTCCCGCGCTTCGTGTACGTGGAACTCTACTCCGACAGAACTTTAGTTGGCATAGACAGGAGCGTATCGGGTCGAAACTCGAAATCACAAACCTGTTTTCGGAAATCTTTCATCCTTATCTGTTGTGCGGGCGCGCGTATAATCGTTCCCGCTCAGTGAGTCATCGCTTATACGTATCGCGCTGGTTGCTCTACGCACTTCACGGCCACTCGTTCGACTTCGTCACGCTTTGACTGCAGTGACTGGACAGTTAATGCGACAATAAATTAATGTCCAAAGTAATAAGTAAATAGATTTCTTCATAAAAAAAAAAACATTGCACTAACCAGTTCAGTTGGTGCACGTTTCGAAATAGTCGAAGGCCCATTCAGTTATTGGATCGAGGCTACCGCGATTTAATGAGTTGCTTGTATTGGATTGTCGAACTTTGCTCTGTGGCCAACAATTTAAATCATGTAGGTACATTATTGACATGACTCACTATCACATCTAACATCCGCATTAGTCGATTTAATTAATTATTTTATTCCTTTGAAATAATTTGATGGTAAATCCGCTTTCGCTAATGACTTAAAATTTTCGTTCACTCGATTTTATTTAGACTCCCTCGGCATCGGTGAAAGGACTTTTTTTTTGTCACCGTACCGTCGAGATGAAGCGAAAATGTACTACACTTAAAACGTTAAAGTGCGATTTGGCTTGTTCTCATGTAAACATTCACCTATACCGGTTTTTATTTCAAAAAGTAATTGTTTCAGCAGCATTTAGCATTGGCGGCTTAATGATATCAATCGTTGGAAACGATTTCATTTAAATTGACGTGACCGTCGTGTTCCTTTTTTAAATAAACGGGGACAATATACGGAACAATACTAAGAATCTCAGCCAAGAACATTTTTCACTCTTTTGGCTTAGATTAGCAGACCAGCTACCGACCAATTTGAAGTTTCTACTTTAATGTTGGCTTGCAGAATTCATAGATAGACCAGGGTAAACGCCATGCCACCATAATTCCTGAACAATATGGTCGAAGTGTCACTTTCTTTCGACTAGATTAGCAACGTTTATCCTTGAAAACGAACACAGAAACGCATAGGTAAATTAAAACAAAAGTTCAAATCCAGATAATATTATTTCATCATGACATTGACTTTGCCCATGACCAAAGCCGGTTCATTAGACGCGTGAAGGTACGCTGCTTATATTTATTTATTGATAACACTTGGTTTGGAACAAAACATGGCTTGAGGTGTAGAAAGAGAAAGGGAACTTATTCAAAAGTGGGTGATGTTTTTGCTGTTGCTTATGCCTGTGTGTGTGCGTATGTTGTGGCAACGGCGCGGGCGCATGATTCATTGGCGCGTGGGCAGAGCTTATTGTATTTGTTTCTGACTATTCATATTAGATAACTAAGACTTTTCCTTTTGCCGTGATCCTCTTTAGACTTTCTATATCAATTCCAATAGAGGAACAATTTCGTTATTGGGGATCGTAACTCGGTTAGCTGTCGTCACATTTCTGAACTAAGAAAACGAAATGTCGTACCAAACAGATGCAATTGCGCAAATGCTATCCGACGAGAATTCGAAACAGTCGCTCATTAAGACTTTATTGTCGTTTCTCAGTGTTATTTACCTTTCACCGTGTCCCGTCTTCTTTCAATTCGGGCCGCGGTTCTTTTATATTAAAAACAGATCCTTTCGCTCCTACACATTTTGTATGTAGAGGTGTGTTGTTAAACTATCCTGGTACAGTTAACAATGGCATTGTAAANAAATGCTATCCGACGAGAATTCGAAACAGTCGCTCATTAAGACTTTATTGTCGTTTCTCAGTGTTATTTACCTTTCACCGTGTCCCGTCTTCTTTCAATTCGGGCCGCGGTTCTTTTATATTAAAAACAGATCCTTTCGCTCCTACACATTTTGTATGTAGAGGTGTGTTGTTAAACTATCCTGGTACAGTTAACAATGGCATTGTAAATTTTTATCTCGGCTTTAAGTTATGTTAATTCTTCGTTATCTCTTGCGTCTTTCTTTAAGGTATGACTGTGTATTTTAATTTTTGAAACGTAACCGAGGACATTAACATTTCTAAGAATCTTTTACTATTGTATGCGAGTATCGTTTAAGCTGTCGTAAATATTAGTGGCGCCAGGCTGTTCCTTGGATGTGTCGGAGTACGCTCGCTGCTTCTTAATCAAAAATATCATTGTGTGCGTATACGCGACATAATGAAGCAGACTGTTTAATTTCGTTAATGACCTATAAACATTAAAACTCGATGTAAAGGTGCCGATTACGGTGTCGCAATCGCGAGCGTGGTAGCGGCACACGACACGACCGAGCTTTCTCACCGTGGCATTGTAATAGATCCGTTCACTCGAGACCTCTATGCTAATACACGGCGAACATATCTTAATACAGCGTGCGATATTTGCATTATAATTGTCGATGTCGTAACTCCGGTAATACGAGCTGTGGAATTGAAATTCGATAGTTTTGTTTTTGTACGGTTCAAGTTTAGATTTCTCGCTATCTAATCTAATCGTACGGCAATTGTAGGTACGTGATATTCACAGTAGATCAACTACAGACGCGTGATCGTACTTAGCCATAGATACTCTTAGATACTAGTAGAATAGTTTGCAGTGTTAAAAACGTACTGATGTCCCTATATTATTTACTGGTGGTATTTATATATTTTATACTGGTGGTAGGACCTCTTGTGAGTCCGCACGGGTAGGTACCACCGCCCCGCCTATATCTGCCGTGAAGCAGTAATGCGTTTCGGTTTGAAGGGTGGAGCAGCCGTTGTGACTATACTGAGTGAGACCTTAGAACTTGTATCTCAAGGTGTGTGGCGCATTTACGTTGTAGATATCTATGGACTCCAGTAACCACTTAACACCAGGTGGGCTGTGAGCTCGTCCACACGTCTAAGCAATAAAAAAATAAAAAAAAGATATAAAAATCCTATGAAAAGAAAACTTAATTGAAAAATCGTAATGAGGAAAAAGTTTTAATTCGTAGATTTACATTATCAGGTTCACAACTTTTTTTTATTATTCACGTGTCCGAAGGTAATCGACTCGAATGTTCAGTTTTTGCGCGTTTGTTTTATTACGGAACATAAATTTTAGCTTTTATTAGTGTTTCGGCTTACAATTTATTTGTGTAGTATAGTTGGAAATACGTTTCGGACTTTTTTTCCGTCTGCAGAATTGTAAATGATATCGCGCTGTATTGATTCAATGAATAATAATCAATAATAATATATTAATAAATTAGTAAACAAACAAGGCCTAAAAATCTATTGCAATAAAATGTTGTACGTTTTCATTCGTTGAATCCATAAAGGTTCAGGCTCCAAAGTTTTCTCTCTGCACTATAAGCCTCTAACAGTACGCACGCATTGAGTTGCATCGTAAAAGTTTTCTATGCTTGCGCTTTTAGTATTAACGTTAGGTCAATGACCCGTTACGGCGATAAGCTTTCCAAGGCGTATCGTGATTTTTAGAGAATACATAATGTAGTTTGAGGTTTTATCCTTGGTATTATGCAAATTGCCAATGTTTGTTTTCGCGCACTTAATACGGAATGTTTTAAATAGTGACTAAAGACTTCTCTTTTCTTTCCCAATTAATGATTAGTATTGGGAACCCAATAAATGATTACTCCAGAAATATACATAAATAAAATTCGTCTTGCCTACTACGAGTCATCATCATCATCATTTCAGCCTATCGCCGTCCACTGCTGAACATAGGCCTCTCCAATAGATTTCCAGTGCGACCGGTCCATTGCCACCTGCATCCAACGAGACCCAGCGCTTTTTACTAGGTCGTCGGTCCATCTAGTAGGTGGCCGTCCCACACTGCGCTTGCCAGTACGTGGTCGCCACTCCAGGATCTTTCTGCCCCATCGACCGTCCTCTCTTCGTGCTATGTGGCCNGTAGTTTGAGGTTTTATCCTTGGTATTATGCAAATTGCCAATGTTTGTTTTCGCGCACTTAATACGGAATGTTTTAAATAGTGACTAAAGACTTCTCTTTTCTTTCCCAATTAATGATTAGTATTGGGAACCCAATAAATGATTACTCCAGAAATATACATAAATAAAATTCGTCTTGCCTACTACGAGTCATCATCATCATCATTTCAGCCTATCGCCGTCCACTGCTGAACATAGGCCTCTCCAATAGATTTCCAGTGCGACCGGTCCATTGCCACCTGCATCCAACGAGACCCAGCGCTTTTTACTAGGTCGTCGGTCCATCTAGTAGGTGGCCGTCCCACACTGCGCTTGCCAGTACGTGGTCGCCACTCCAGGATCTTTCTGCCCCATCGACCGTCCTCTCTTCGTGCTATGTGGCCTTAACTAACTATACTACTACGAGTATAGTTAAGAAATGAAAGAACGTTTTTCGCGGCCTCAGTACTACTCATCGAACCCACGGAGTTTCTCGCCGGATCTCCTCAGCGGATCGCGTTTCCGATCCGGTGGTAGATTCTGCGAAGCACTGCTCTTACTAGGGCTAGTTAACAACATCATCAAGTTTGAGCTCCGTGACCTACTATACTCTATTCCAATTACGAAGTCCCTTTGAACACTTCTTAGAACGTAATTCTGCATTATTTGAAATAATAATCATATTTTGTTCATGGTCGTAAATCATCATTTAAAAAATACACAATCAATCTAAATCATTATACAGTTAATTCACACACACAGTAACATAATATAACATGATATAATATCTGTCAAATAGGACTTTGTAATTCGAATAGAGTATAATTCGGCGAATATAGAATAACCCCTCGAGGTTACTAGAATAAGTAAGAAAAAAAAGTACTTATCGCCAGTATCTAAAACACATTAAGCATTAAATATTATGTGCATCGAGACCAGAAGACCGAACTTACACGATATTAGCAAAGCAAGTAAGGTCGTCCGTGTTCTGCCTATAAGTATCTGCCGGGAAAGAATTACGCAGTCTGATCTGAACAACAAGACACCGCTGCAACTTCGAACTTCCCATTTTAACAGTTTAACATCAGACACGGATAGAGAGAGAGAGAGGTTGCTAAAAACTCAATTTAATAGACTATTAATAAATATAAATACATATTAACACTAAATATACCCTAACTGATCAAATGACCCATTTTGAACTTTTGCATTGAAAATGCACGTATCGTCTTATTGCTTTTGCACATTTGACTTCATTACTGTTTCATACTAATTAATCTACAGTTATTATACTTTTTTGTTTTTGTTTTGTTTTATTTATTTAGAGTAATACTTGTCGTATGCCGTTTACTACCCGCTATGGTAGAAATAGGTACCAGTAAGTGTTGCTATGATTAGTGTGTGTATTTTGAAATTTTGCTGAAACTACACTAACTTATAATAAACTGTTTATGTCAGGTTAACAGCGTCTTCCCCCATATAGAATATATTTTTAACTCCTATGACAATATAATTCAACATTTACTGCTAAAGGTATCATGAAACGTGATGCCACTTTCTTCTAACAAGGTTTTGGAAGATTTCTCAGGTAGTCGCGAGGTGTCTTCAGTAGCAAAAAAAATCGTAATCAGCTAATTTCAGCTCTCTTATGAATCTTATTATCAGAATATGTCTTATGTATGCTTATCTTCATATATTATATACCTATTGTTTGTTTGTTTGAGGCTCAACTAATTATTCATTTTTCATTCCGATTGATCACACGGACTTCAATTTTTTATTATTTTCCTGTGTAATAATACATTAAGGTACCTTTACATCATCTGGGTCTGCACACTTCGTTAAGGCTCTAACTAGAGATTTTTTTTATTGCCTTTGTAGGCAGACGAGCTTAAGGCCCACCTGATGGTAAGTGGTTACCGTCGCCCATGGACTTCAGCAATGCCAGGAGCAGAGCCAAGCCGCTGCCTACCGAAATTATATACATCAACTTAAAAGCTACTCAAACTTATTAACTCTGGTATCTAAAGACCTATCCGATAACGATCTAAGATTATTCAGTAAAGAACTTTGTAAAGTATTTAAATAATCGTAAATATTTCCATGAATTTCTTGAAGTTCGAACAACGGCGGTCGTTATGAATTTATCAACATTTTTACCTTGTTCGGTGTGTTTCCATATTTCACAAAAGTTACGTAAGTATGTAATTGGTTTTATTTTAACCTTTGGAATTAGCTAGGGCGTAATTTATTTGTTTATTTAATAACACATTCCCAAATTAGACCAGAACTTAGTTGGAAAAGTCTGTTATTTCAACTTCCACTCAAGTTTGTATGATGCTGTTAAAGAAAATTAAATCATGGCTTAAAATATTTAATTTTTTTTTAAAGAACTGTAAATTATATATTATTAACACGATTTACTATAAACAATTATAGTAAGCCAATTTTATAAAAAAGAATAATTGATTTTTTTTAAACTTTTAAACGTTAATTAGATGACTATTAGGAAATAACAATATTAATTACTTTAATAAAGTTTTCCAATGAATTAAATGATATCAAAGAAGTCAAAAAGATCTTATGTTTTTTTTTCTGATTAGTAACGAAGTGCTCTATTTTTAATATGTTCAGAATACGGAAACTACAATTTTTTTTAGAATTTTTAAGCAAGCTGCTTGTAGACAAACAAACCCCTAACCACACATAGTCTTGTGCAAACTTCATGTTACTGTATTCGAGTTTCAGGTATACTGAAAATGAAATGACACAGCGAGGTGATTGTGTGGTAATTATTGCGAGTTTTTAGTTCTCATCAGAATTATTACGTATTCATAAATGTATATTTGTTTTAAAGACTGAAGTTTTTGCCAAATTTTATTAGGAGTATTCTCTAATAAATAATGAACTTGTACTGGTGGTTGGAAATATACCAGATACAACAACGCATACAACACAGACAAGAAAAGTCAAATTGGTCTAATATTTGTAATCTCTATATATAAAAATGAATTGCTGTTCGTTAGTCTCGCTAAAACTCGAGATCGGCTGGACCGATTTGGCTAATTTTGGTCTTGAATTATTTATGGAAATCCAGAGAAGGTATAAAAGGTGGATAAATATGAAAATGCTCGGAATTAAATAAAATAACAATTTTGTTTTTCCTTTGATGTGTCCCCCGTCGGACGGATTCCTTTTGTTTTTTTTTATGTTTGTTTTATACAAAAGTTTAGGTCTTTTATTTATCGATTGAGGCACTACGAAGTCTGCCGGGTCAGCTAGTTTGTAATAAAGAAAACTCTAACTGGGAATAGAACTCGCACCCTCGTATTGTAGTCAAGATTACTAAGCAATACACCTATAAAGCAATCAAGTCAAAATAATATCGAAGAGAACAATAAGATCGATATCACTATATAATATGATAGTTTAGTACAGTACCTATACAATCTCATATTTATATCCTGTCATATCAAGTTTATTGCAACTCGTGAACTAGGAGTAAAGCCGCAAATAGCTCACTCCGTTCCCACTACCAGCAAGCTAGTTGAGCCGTTAGTTTCACGTAAGTGTGATAAATAGTTAACATAATATAAAATGAATAGTTTCAATCTTTACCTTGATTTTGATTTTAAGACTAAATTAACTTAATATATTTTTCATACTCTATACATTTCTTTCTTAATTATATTGATAATAAAAATGACACTATTTAGCCACTTGGCCATTTGTACCTTAATAATTAAACTAACCCGAAGTCCCAAATCAACATCGCAAAGTTTTATTCCCAGGCTTTTTTAAATACTCATGACTTTACTAACATTTCGGAATTTCACGCCACATAAAATCTTGTTTTAGATATTTTTTTACTCTAAACCGGTACGTACGGTATTAGGCAGAAATAGATATAATAGTGCCAAAGACTTGTGCGTGATAAGGACACTACTACAGCGGAGGTTGATCCGTTGAGTAGTCTCCAAATAGCGGGCCCGCATCGGAACGTTTTCAAATGGGCTTTCGCACTATTGCCATGTGAAATGTTCTAACCTATTATGAACTCTAGGCATGAAAATTACGGCTTATCTCCTTACACCTCTACAATGTTACGCCGCGGTTTAATCTCAAAATTGCTGATGCTATTCAAGTTATGATGTAAGAAAGTTATGATGCTGTAGTTTGTCCTACGTGTCAAGTTAATGTCTATTAGAGTAAATATATTTTACAAAAATCGAAATAAATGAGAAATGGACAATCGACTTGCTTCATTGCTGTATTACACCGTTAATTCACTGTAGGTACACAGGATCCCATGCACACGCCCGTTTGATGAATTTTCAATAGCACGTTGACTACGGAATAATAATGAATTTTAATTCATTTCATGGAATAATCGCGTGTCTATTGGTTCGTACATAGTTGAACTCGTCAATGAAAATACCAAAGACCTATATTTATTTTCATTTGCATTCGACTTAAGGAATATTGAATGGATATACTTAGTAACTCAGCTATGTCCCTGAAATTGCTAACCACTCACCATCAAGTGGGTCGTATGCCTTCTAAGGCAATAAGAAAGAAGTAAAAAATTCAGTTCAGTGCATATTGAATTTGTACATTATGATCATTCAACTACAAAGAGATTGATAGTTGAGAAATTAATTGTATGAAAACACCCACGCGTTAGTAACATCAGTGATGCATACAAGATAAGAATCTGCTTCATCGCTCCGAAAATGGATTTGAAGACAGGAAGTGAAACTAGCCTCGGGTCGATTTGTAAGTGGGCACTAGATTTCACAATCTCCCTCAAGCCTCGCCTCGGATCTAGACTTATATTATTATAATTATTAATCGTTTCGCGAGCATTTACCGCAAAGACGTAATACTCATTTTAACTTTTACTCTACGAGTATTAATCACCTCACGACGGAGCTAGTTTTATTTTTATTTATTGCAATTATCGTACCGCTAAGTTAATTTTCACACACATATGTACACTTTACGTAACCGTCCACAGAGTGTGAGTCATTTGCGTTGATTTTACATGCGGCACGAGTACCCGATCGTGTGACGTCTTATCAAATCGTACAATTATCGTATGTTTGCTAAGATTACGCGTTACGAAAACACCGAGTCAGTTTGGAACAATTCAATGTTATAGACGTTGTTTATGTTTTTAAATTGTATCGTATTTTACGTGTTCACAATATCGTCTTTTCGCATTAAAAGTGTGCAATTTCCAAAAATATTCGAAATTGAGTTAATATGCGCAAACATTTGGTATCACCAGTATTTTTCTCATAAATACTGTCAAAAGAGCGTAGTTTAGTTTTAGATTATTTTTTTTAGTTTACCTATGTTTTGACTACTATAATAACAAATTAATACATAATTTTATCTTACTTTAAAAGACAGATAATGTGACTGTTTAAAAATAAAAAATAAATGTTGCAAAGATGTTTAATATTAAAAATATGACATATTAAACCTTTAAAACATTCTCCTGTAAAATTAGTAAGTTTTGATATTATACAGTTTTAATGCGAGAAGGCGATATGATGATTACTGAGTTGTTCAAACATGAACTCGGCCACTTTAACGAGTCGTCAATGATTCGGTATATCGGTGATGTCGTCAATGGGACACACCTGTGTTGCACGGACCGGATCATGTGCGGTCGCGTGTCGGCTGCAACAAATCTGTTGTGTCGCCGCGGGGGGAAGAGCGCGAGGCGACATGCATTATTCAAGGCTCATTTCTATTCAACGTCGACGGGCCGCCCGATAAAAAGTTCTCGTTTGACAACTTGGACGCCTGCACCCTTTGTACTTGCGTCGTGTTCCCTGCGGCTAATGCATACAGTGTTTCAAGAGTCTCCAGCCTATTTGTCACAATCGTGTTTACGACCTGTTACTGTGTTAACTTTTTAGTTACAAGAAAAGAAACTTCTCCGTGATTTACGGCTTCAATTATTAACTTAAACTAAAGCGATGATAATTATTTTATCTTTATAGGCAATGATGAGTTAGGAAGTTTAATTGAAAGGGAATCTTGAATTTCCTTGTTGCT